ATAATACTAATACTGAAAATAACAAATTTGAATATGAAATTGATAATAAATTTAATAACAGTTCTGATAACATATTTGAAATTATTTGGCTCCTGATTATAAAGTTCTATCATATTCTAATAAATTTGCTAATAATCATTTTATATAAATTTTATTATAAATTATGAACTTTAGAATAAGATTTAATTTGCTGGATATTACAACAAAAGCACTTATAAAATTTATGAAGTTGGTATTAATTAAAATTGATAACAATGAATTTGAACTTTTTTGTAAATCATTATATATGGCCAAAAAATTACATGAATTATTATTAATTTTGTAGTATGCTAAAAATGTCACAAATTATATAAACAAAATAATGTATTAAATTTCTAAAAAAACAATTGGCTATCAATAATAAAATATATTTATATCAAATTTCTGAATTTAATAACTCAAAAAATAATTTGCAATACTTTATTATTTATATATTCAAATTATTAAATGGAAGTATTAACAATCAAAATTAATCTTTTTTTATGTAACTATTTGATAGCAATTATTTCAAGTATATCAAAATTCAAATTTTGAATCTAATCTTTAATACTAAGTGAATCGATCAAGTATTAATGAATTGTTATATAATAGTTATAATAGCAATATTTGGAAAACTTTTAAAAATAAAAATTCTAGATTTTTTTTTAGTAAAGAAACAGTTGATTTGTATTTAAAATTGATATTAAATATTGACTGGTTTCAATCATATAATAACAAAATATATAATATTAATATTATATATGTAACCATTACTAATTTGTCATACAATATATACTTTAAGCATGAAAATATACTGATTCTTGGCATATTATCAGGTTTTATTAAACCAAGCTTATATAAAATAAACTACTATCTTGTGCTAATTGTTAACAAATTAATATAAATATAACAAAGAATAATATTGAAATTGACTGTCAAAAATAAGAAAGAAAAAATAATTTGAGTGGCTTTAATTTTAGTTTCATGTGATATTCTTATAACATATAAAGTATATAAACATATTTTGGCACTAGTATCTTGTTACTATTGTAAAAAAAAACTAACCATATAGATAATCAATATAACTTTGGTAGCATAAAAAATATAAACAAATGGTTTATATCAAGAAATTTGACAATACATATACAAAATATTACTGAATAGAGGAATTGCAATAAATATAACATAAAAGTATTTTGTTAATAAGACACTAGCTAGATAATCCAAGCTTCTTTACTTATTTTATTTTAATCCTATTTGATATTTGATCATTAATTCAATGTACTGTTTTTTTTTTTAGATATTAGTAAATAACTTATTAAACAAATATAGATTAAAGAAGAGATATTAACAAATAATATATTAAATAAAATATAAGTAACAATAGAAAATTTTTAAGTACTATTTGACATTGGCTAAATTTCAAAAAAATAAATTATGGAAAAGGCTTTTTAAACTTTATTGCTAACCAATAGAAGAATTTTTTCATAATATATGTAATTATTATTTTATTTTATTTTTTATTTTATTTTTTTTGATAAACATCGGTTTTTTATTATATATATATATTGGGATATAGCTATAGACAAGAACCTACATCTCTTATAATATATAATTTAAATACTAGTTTATTAGGATATATACCTAAACTATATTAAAAAAGAAATTTTAAAACTAATATATTGTCTAGATAAATTATGTGATTTAAGAAAAAATAAAAAAAATAAAAAAAAAGAAAAATTAAACATGTATTAATATTAAGTAAACTGCCAAGCAGGATGCAACTTCTATATACTCAGTAAGCTGTCAACACTGCCATATAGCTCATATATTAGTATTCATATTATTGTTTTCTTCAAAGTTATCTATTTAATATTAATATATAATAGGTTATTGGTAGTGATATTGTTATTGTTGTTGTTATTGTTGGCATTATTGTAATAATCAATAATGCAATTTTGGTAACTTGTGATTGGTTGTAATATAGTATCAATCTTTTAATGAAGTGAATTTATTTTGGTTTTTGTTATAAGGAAAAAAGAAAAAAAAAATTGTATCTGTATATATGAGTAAAAAAGATGTCAAGTTAAAGGTCTTTCTCTATGCAACCTTCATCTACAAAATATCCAATCTTGAGAAATTCAATCAAGAGTTCCATCCTTATACAGCTTGAGTTTTTACAATCAAACTTTTAAGATTGGCTCATATGTGACAGGTCTTTAATATATGAAAAGTTTTTTGTATCGATATTGGCAGAAGTAACTTTTTGTCTTAAAGAAGTAGAGCTGGTCTTTTATCCAATAAGTTCAAGATTATATCTTCTGCCTATAATATTTGGAACTATTTAATCTAAACCTTTTAGGTAATAGCAAAAAGGAGACAACCAGTTGACTTCTTTAGATAAGAATTTTTATTCTCAGTAATGGTAAAGGAAGGAAAAAAGTTTCTTTTTAGAGAAAGAAATAACTTTACAAGCCCTTCAATACTTGTTTCATTAAAGTTTCCTAAAAAGAAAAGTTTTTCAAAAATTTGAGAAAAACGGAAAAGAGTTTTATGATTATTGTTTTATAAAAGTATTTTTCAGAAATTGTTTGTTAAATATTAATTAATTTTGTTAAAATATGTTAGATATTAGTATACCGATTTGTAAGATAAGAATTATTAAACAAAGATTATAAAAAACTAATAATAATAATTAAGTTAATTGAGCAAAAATATAATAATGAAAAAATTATATTGAATTTTTATCTTTTTTTATATCTGTATAAATACATATATAATTATAAGCCATTATATGCTTTTTGGTATTTTTCATTTGAATAAATAAATAGTTTGTTAAGTAAGTTTTTTTATAATTAATATTTGTAAAATAATATTCTAACAAAGATTAAATTTAGAATCACTGCTTAATAATTATCAAAATATTAAGCCTGAACTAATATAAAGATTTGTAAAGAATTACTAAATTATTAATCTAACCTAGGGCTTCAAAAAGTACTGAACTGGTATCAAACTGGTATCAAAATGGTACTGATCTATAATAAATTTAATATATGGGTTGTAACCTATTCATATGTTTTTATAGTATATTTAAGTATTAAATTGGTATCAAAGTGGTATCAAAGTAGTATTGAAATGATATTATTAAAAGCCCTAATTTAACCATATCCTATTATGATAATATAGGACTTGAAATTTTAAATAATCAATTAAATATCAAATCAATATGAAAAATGTCAAATTGGAAACAAAATCTTTGATTTTATTATATTATCACAAAATATAAAAAGGTTTATTTGTTTTAATCTGATTGTGTATTATGATAGAAGTGTTGATTTATACCTAAAACAAGTTTAATTTTTCTTTATTTATTTGGTTAACTTATCAAATAATATGGCAAAACACAATTCAGCTTTTATTTAATAGTTTAAACCTGTTAATTTGATAACTATCAGGCTTTATTTTGGATCCAAAAATAATGCAAATATTGAATTATAAAGTATTGAATTTTATCTAATTAGAACAAATATATAATTCTTATTTATAATATTTTTGATTGATTTATTTCATTTAAGTATAAGATTTCAAATTAATAAGATTTTTGTAAATATTTAATTATTATCACAAATATAATATATAAAATTTAATCAAAACATATATAATTTGATAAGGTAATAAAAAAAAAAAAACTTTTTTTCACAACACTCCAATTTGTAAAAAATTTTCTTTTTTGGTAATGACATGAACAGCAGATGATAAACAGTCAGCAAGAACCTTTCATTAGAAAAGAAGTTTATCTTCATTTACTGCAAGATGCAAGGAGTTGATTAACTTTCCATAGAAAGGTGGATGCTTTGAAAAGAGCAAAAACCTTTTCAAACAAACTCTTTATTTTACCAAATGAAACCTATATAAGTAACTTTTAAGTCAAAGAAAAATTTTTTTATCTATTTCTATACAAAACATATTCAAAGTACATATAACACCTTTTTTTCTTAAACATCTTTAAAAACTATTTCAAAAGACGGTATTTTATTTTTTTTAGAGTTTTTTGTTTTTTGCCCAGTTTCTATAGTTTTCATATAACTTTCCTCTTATTAAAAGTCATATTTAGTTTATCCTCATTAAAAGATCTATCTATTCAATATATTAATCAATACTTGTATAACTTTCAACAAAATCAAAATAACACAATAACCTATCAGATTGGAAAAGTGTGAGATCAGTGCCCTGTACAGGTTCTGATAGTATTATCAAAACAATCCAAATCAAGAAATACTATATAACTCTGTCTCACAACAAAATATAAACCTGAAATTAATCCATTACACAATCAAAAGATTATTACCTCAAATCTGATTACTATACTATTTATACATAACATTTATCATAACATTAATAATATTGTGATAAATATTATAATAATGGAGTTGCACCCCATATTGCCCTATTCATAAAGCAGTCAATGCTTGATTAGGTTGAGTAGTTTAAGTTTGCAATTTATTTAGAATAATAGCAAACTAAGAATAGAGTTAATACCAATGCTTACAGAAATTGTTATCATTAATAATTTACCAATTACGCCTAGTAGGAAAGAATTATTATAGTAATACTTTCTTTAATAAATTTGATTTTTTATGTTCTTTATAATGAAGAGATTCATCTCTCTATAGATAGATAGCCCCTTCTAATTTTTCCAGCAAGTTTTATAGAATATATCTATCTAAAATAGCAGATTAATGTTTATAGTGACATATCTTGACATGTCTTACTTTAGTAAATTTTGTAACAAAAAATTTTTTTTGTAGAAATTTAAGTAATAAAAATTTCATCCAAGAAGAATCTTGTAAAAAAAATAAATTGACAAGGTAATATAATTTGACAAAATAATATACAGTACATCAAATGTTCGATAATATAAGTATAGTATAATAGGAGCTAATAAAACATGTGCGATAGAATATACTAGTCTAATTATATACCTATAATTCCAAATATCCCAACTTTAAATTCCTGACCTTTTTAACTATTTAACGATGGATGCATGATATCTTTGCAAAAAAAAAATCAATAATATATCCAATTTTTGCCCAATGATCAATTGTATGATCAATTGCATACTCTTTTACATATAATTCGCCATGATTTACATTTTCCTTCATTAATTCTTTGTTTATTTGAAATTCGTCGGAAATTTGTTTCCAAAAGTCTAATGTATAAATTTACAATTAGCTATCATCATATAAAAATTTAATAATAACAGTTAAAATTTACCTGATACTTCTTCCAATTTTAAAATTTTCAATCTATTTTTAATGCATTCCAATTCGACAATCAGACGATCCATAATCAAATTTTTATATCCTTGTTCATTTAATTTTTTTAAACTAGCATTTCCATCAGATGCTTTCTTTATTAAAAATAATAAAATAAAAATAAAAATTGACAATAATTTAATAATAACAACGTAAAAAAAATTTTTTTTTTCAGGTACCTTCTTATATGTAAAAAGAATTCCGGATTTCTGATTCCTTTCGTCGATCATCTTTTTTTCCAAAATTTGTTCATAAATTGGTTTATTCGTTTTTTCAATTTTCTGAAATGACTCTTCGATTTTCTGATGTGACTCTTCAAGCTTTGCAATTGCTTTTTTAAGAAATTTGTAAAATTCACTAAATCGAATAGCAAATATTTTGCAATTTTTGATGGATTCGTCAATATAATTTAAATGCGGGTCAGCTAAATTATTGATTTTCCCTCGAGAGTCAAGATCATTTTTCCATCCTTTGACGAATTCATTGTGATTTTCAGAAAAATACGAAAGGATGTTAGACGCAAAAAATAACCCTTCTTTGATTAATACTCCTAACTTAGCTGAATAATCATTAATTTTTTTAAGATCATCTAATAAGTCGATAAAAACTGGCACTCAATTTTTTTTATTAAAATTAATAATTTTATTTATTAAATATAAAGAATAATTTTTATTAAAACTATTTTAAGTTTTATT